TTAGTCAGGTAAACCACGAAGGCGTGAAGACAGAGTCTTCCAGAAGCTGGTGACCAGCGCCGATTACACCAGGCTCGATTCTAAAGGTTTTCTTTGTGTCAACACCATTCCACTTGCCGCACCCAACAACCACACGCCCCGACTGTCAGATGCGAAAATGAGTCAGGGTCAACTTGCCCATGGTGCGAGGGCAAGGAAGTGGTGAGGACCCAAACCTAGGCAGGCCGGCTCCAGAGCGGAGACTCTCAGAACCGCTTGGAGACGCGACCAGTGTCTAAAGGGCATCTGGCTAGCTGGCCACCTGTCAATGATGGAGCCAAGATGCGTGTTGAGGTGGCCATTTTTCCAACTGAGGCTTAGGAAGAAAGTGAAGTGGCCAGACCAGAGGCCAGAGTGAGGGGCAGAGTGTGGTCTGGGGTCTCGGATCTCCAGCTTTCTGCCCCATGCATCCTGCCCCGCAGCTCAGGCACGTCTAGGCAGGACCCAGAGAGGGTTATGGCAGAGCAGGTATCAGGACTGGAGGCGCGGGGCCCCGGGGCCGGGCACCGCAGGGAAGGAGTTGAGCATCACAACAGACTGTCCAGGCAGCAGCAAACAGCGGGAGGAAACACGTTCATTGACGATCTGCCACATGCTAGGCACTTTTACCCACAACCCTGGGGCTCATTTAACTCTCGCAACCGCCCCGAGAAGCCTCTCGTTTCAGAGGTGAGAAGGCATCAGCAAGACTGGGCCAAAGTGCCCAACCTAGAGGTGGTAGAACCGGAATTCCCGCAGTGGTCTGGGTGCCTGAAGCCTCCGACTGTCCAGTCCCTGACCCCACGCTGCAGGCCTGGAGCTCTCTCTCACTGGCAGTCAAGGGCAGGGAGCATTTGGGGTCAAGCCCACGGCAGCCTAAGTTGAGGTGGTCTCTCAGGCTGGCGCTCTTGAGTCAGCCTGTTACACACACTGTGAGCCCTGTTGCCACTCGGCCTACGTGGGCTTGGGTGTGTGTGTGTGTGTGTGTGTGTGTGAGACCAGTGGTGCCAGGCGGGCTCCGTGGCACAGTGGACGGTCACGTTCCGGAACTCCTGATCATCCCCTTTACGGACAAGGAAGTGCGGCACCAAAGGCGATGCGACTCACGTAGCCAGTGCCTCGTGGGGCTGGGAGCAGGGCTTCCTGACTTCCAAACTTCCTACAACCCTGGGTCCACAGATGGGTGGTGCAGCAGCAAGCAGCCACGCTGGGGTGACCTCAGCAGCAGGTGCGGTGTGGCAGAGGAGGGGCCGTGGGGACCAGAAGGGCAGAGGCTGGGGACCGGAGTGGACCGAACCGGGAAAGGCCTGGAAGCAGCCCAAGGTCCTGTGGTGGGGCCCGCAGGGACCCAGTCCAGCAGGGGGCCCGGTCAGATCAGTTAGGCCAGGGCCGGTGCCAGCGTTCTGGGCAATACATCTACTGGGCGTGACACTCCCACCAGGCCACGGAGTGAGGAGGAGGGGAGACGGGTATGAAGAACCAAGGAGAAAATCAAGGTTCAACCAGGGGAGCAGGAGAGCAGGGCAGGCGAGGACCTGAGTTTAGGAAGGCCTAGGTTTGAATCTTGTCTAGGCCACTTAGTTAGTAGCTGAGTGACCTTGGGTAAATTACTTAGCCTTTCGGAGCCTCACGGTGTTCATCTACGGATGGGAAAGTAATTGGGGTACAGTGCCTGACGTAGGGCAGCACTGGGCCAGGGGTTCTGGGCAGCTGGTGGCAAGGCGGCCCTGGACCCTGGGTCTGTGGCCAACTGACTACTCCCAGCCTCCACCTGCTGTGGGGCCGGAATTCGTTCTGGGATCCTGCCAGGGTCAAAGATGAACTAGGAAGCGGGCCTACCTCGGCCGTGGGTGAAAGGCAGCGGTGACCCGGGGCCATGGCCCTGACAATGCTGTCACCAGGGAAGTGATGACGGAAAACAGATAGATAGGTAAGCCTGGGCTGTAAATTTAGCCTCCACTGGAATAAAAGCGCTCAACTGATTTTTGGCCTCTTTCTTCTACTTGGGAGGTCTCTATAAAAGCGTTACATTGTCTCAGAAGCCGGGGTCCTGCAGTGACCTCTTCCCACATCACATCCAAGCTGATTAAGGGGCCCCAAATCTTCTCCAGGGAGCACTGGGCCGAAGACAGCAGAATGAAGAGTCTTTGCTAATAATATCCCCTCTTGTAGGAACAAGCATGTTCTTAGAAGCACCTGTCACCGCTAGATGAAGAGTCAGCTAATTTAGCTGCCTCCGGCTTTCTTCGTAGAATAAAAGGAGGAAAGTGAAGCTGTGCATGGTCTGGAAGGTATACAAAGGCCTGCACTAAAGGGGCGCCTGGGTGGCGCAGTCGGTTAAGCGTCCGACTTCAGCCAGGTCACGATCTCGCGGTCCGGGAGTTCGAGCCCCGCGTCAGGCTCTGGGCTGTTTCCGATTCTGTGTCTCCCTCTCTCTCTGACCCTCCCCCGTTCATGCTCTGTCTCTCTCTGTCCCAAAAATAAATAAACGTTG